ATTGAATAAAACGTCAACATTAAAAACAGCTAGCTAGTTTAACTGTTTACCTTAAAAGTCCATAGATATCGCCATTATTTAATGTGGCTGTTGACACTTTCTCTGCAAGTGGAAGCAATGAGACCTGTTTTCCGGGTTTGGTCAGGAGGCGTCCGACATATACCCTATTGGAAGACGAGAGTTTGACTATCACTGGATATTTATGAGCACTTGAAATCCTTGATTTCAAACTAAGCTATGCTATATCATTGCCTGTTATGGCATATTAATGGCATTATGTATGTAAAATTACTGTTACCGATATCATCCATATATTGGCCAACAGGAACAGATCGAAATTTACGTCATTATTTGTTGAAAATCTTCCCCTGCCACAGTTTTCAAAAGAGCAGCATTTACATTATTCAAAATGTATCCTATTGTGTTCTATGAAAGACAGAAGGTGAAATGAGTTTGGAACAACATGATAATTTAACTGATGACAGATTTTCGAGTGAATGTATTAATTTAAGACATGGACTGCACCTTCCAATCTGTGCATGTTTATTTATGTGTGTGCAGTTGCTTCACAAAGGAGCATCCACTCTTGTGAAACACAGCGACCTTGAATCAACTAAACAGAAGTCTGCTTTGCATTGTTCTGTCTTCAATTTCAACCCTGGATTTAGCAATCCACGCAAGTCCCCTGCAATCTGCGCCTATATAGCTCATGGTTACATACTCGCATATGTTTGCCTCAGGGGTTTTTTATTAAGAAAGTATGATGTGATATCTCCCGGTTAGTGTGAAATGAGCTAATTTCACTGTGTTTATGTGTGTGGGTGTGTGTGTATTTGTGTCTTATTTAAAAGCTATTTGACATCTTGTTGTTCACTTCCTCTACCAACTTCCCCATTTATCAGCCTTTCTTTGTGTTTGTACGTGTGTGTGTGAGTTGTAAAACGGGCACCTTTTGTAGACCATTGGATTCAAAGTGACAGTTTCTGGTTGATAATGTCAACTTATTTATGTTGTTGCATTTGCAAACTCATTTCCTATCATTTTTATTAGCTTCCTGGCAGTTGGAGACTGTGTCCCTTGCATGCTGTTAAATCTTGTATCCTACACTCTTAAAAATAAAGATACCAAAAGGGTATTTACGTATAAATGCCATAGAAGAACCATTTTTGGTTCCCCAAAGAACCTTTTTGTAAACACCTCTTAAAATAACAATTTTATTCCCAGTGTGAAAAACATTTTAATAGTCTGAAGAACCTTTTTCTGCTTTTTCAGTAAAATCCCTTGCAGAAAAAGAGAATTTGGTAATGGTTCTCAATCGACTTTTTCAGATTTCAGAATAATGAATTTTATGGTAATACGTTTAGATTGATATTTATGCTAACATGCAAACAATAATATGCCATGGCTGTTCGTAAGTGGAAGGGGCTGTCATCTGATTGGCTAATAGAGCCAAGTGTTTAGTCTCAGGTCAGTGGTGTGACACGAGAAAAGGGGTAAATAATTTATCCACTGCTCTTCACATCCTTTTCTATTTCTGGTTCTTTTCTTTTTTTTT